TATATATAGAGAGAGAGAGAGAGAGAGACATGCAAGCATGCATAACTGTTATTGAGGCATGTGTTATTGAAGACTACGGAACTTTTTTGTTTAATAATCTTTCTTTCATTTTTTTCTTGCTTTCTCACAAGTTTCATTATATTTGGGTCTAAATTGTTGAAAAAATACCCCAGTCTTTGTTTTTTTTTCGATTGTCGTCAACCGTCATCACGGTTGTATGTTTTGGTTTGCAGTATGTTGCATTTTTATTTTTATTTTTTTTTATAGATAATACTAGCAGCATGGTCCGGCGTTGCCCATGCTTGATTCAAAAATCGTACGACTCATACAGCAATCGCTATCACTTGACTTAAAATATTTTTGCCCTTCCTTGCCTTTAACGTGCTGATGTTGCTACATGCCTTACTTCTTGCCTATCTCACACTGCGATTTTTTTTCTAAGCTCTATACTAAACATTAAATCTGTTACGAAAAAAGAACTAAACAAAATGAACACAAAACGATCAGCTTTAAAAAAAGACTCGTAACTGGAAAAACCGAATGAAAAAAGAATGTTAACAACAAATACTTTTTCACACCCAACACAGTTCTGCGGAATCAGAATCAACGTTGAGTTTAAGCAAGCGAATGAGCCAATTGGAGTAAAGTGCCATGCAGATTTAAATTTTTCCCACTTGTGACGAATGCAGCTATTGATTTTTTGCATGTTAGCATGCTAGTTAATATTCGTGTCAGTCAGCTGTTGGCTCTCACGCTGGCCAATTCCTGCCTATTCGTGGCAGCCAGCTATAGGATCCCACTCTGTCCAGTAGAAAATGGCCGCAAACTACACGAAAAGTGCTGTAGAAGCATGAAAAATCTTTAAATATAGGAAGGAAAAAAAATGCCGTAAGAATTTTTGCCGTTAACAATAAAATTTAAAAAAAAACTCCAGACGACACGCTTTTAACGGATGTTAGATTTCATTGAAAAATACATCCCTACCCACCACCAAAACGTAGCAATAACTGTTACATTAAAATATCGACATAATGAACACCCAGACACCCCTCGTCTAGTAAAATGAATTCATCTGTAACCTTGGAAACAGGAATTATGATTTTAGCTGTCTTTAAAACCCAGTAATTTTAAAAGTTACTCCAAAATTCGCTTGAGGATGAAATGGAACTAATGTCTTTAATTTAATTACAAAATTAAATCCGGGGCTTTTAGCTTCCATTTTTGAAACTTGGTTAGAACTGAGTAGCGAAAAAAAAACATTTTAAATCAATTAATTTATAATATATATATATATATATATATATATTATTTGTTTGCTTAAATCTTATTATATACATATATATATATATATATATATATATATATATATTTGTTTGCTTAAATCTTGTTTTATATATATATATATATATATATATATATATATATATATATATATATATTATTTGTTTGTTTAAATCTTATTATATATATATATATGAATAAATAGACGATCGGAAAATAATAAATAGTCCTTACCGACGCGTTTCTTCATACGATTTTATCAAGGCAAGTGATGATAAACAAAAGCAAAATGTTGTGTAATTATATGAAATTCTTTCTAAAAGACGTTCCTGTGTAAGCCTTTCTTTGGATATTAGTAACTGTTTCTTCATCTTTGACTAAGTGCTGTGTTTTTTTGAATTTCATGTAACTGTTTCTGTAAAAGTTTCGCTTTTGTTTATCATCACTTGCCTTGATAAAGTCGAATGACAAAATGCGTCTCTTTGGCAGGGTTCGAACCAGATTCCCCCTTTGTAAGTAAAACAGCGTTCGGATCAGGCGTGCTTGTGACCGTTCGGCCACGTAGAGCATCACTGCCCGGCAAGGTTCTACTTACTCTTTTAAGGAATTCACATTCCATCCTTCAGATTTTCTCGAAATCCTATATATATTTGGTTTCGTATTCGAAATGTAAATAAAGCAGTGGATTTATTTTAATCTGACATTTTTTTTATTACTTAAAACGTTATTTTAATGGATACCCGTTGGAAACTAATTGAGACTAGAAAGTGAAGAATGAACTTCTGTTACGAAACTTAGTCCTTACCGACTATGTAAGTAAAACAGAATGTAACAATGTGCGAAGTCCAACCACCTTAAGAAGGCCGGAGTGTGCAAAGGAGTGTGCCGAAACGTTGTAATAAATATGGCGACAAAAAAGTAGGGCAATAGTCCGAATAATGTAAACAGTATATGCATTACATCTACCGGAATTATAAAAACAGTATGCATTACATCTACCGGATTTATAAAAAGTTCAATATATATATATATATATATATATATATATATATATATATATATATATGTGTGTGTGTGTGTGTGATATCTCAAATCGTGAAATGAGAATTATCCTGAACGGCGAATTTACTATATCCTTTCGTACTAAAGCAGGTTTCTCCCAGGGCTCCATTCTTGGTTGTACTCTATTTTAAATTTTCATGATCCTAACCTCCAGGAAAATGACCCGTTGCGCCTTCTCTGGTTCACGTTCCCTGCTGATATGAAGTGGAAAGACTATATTAAATCCATTGCTCGGTCAGCTGTTAAGAAAGAATCTATAAGTCTGCCATTCGTCTATGTTTAGAATATTGCTGCCACATATGGTTCCGGTGCTCCTGCTATTTATCTTGAGCTCCTTGATAAGATCCAAAGAAAAATCTGCAATATTATTGGTCCTGATCTGGCGGGTGAGCTCCAGTCACTTCCTCACCGCCGTAAAGTTGCCTCTATCTTTTCTATAAATCCTTTTATGGTAATTATTTGAATGAGCTCTTCGCTATGGTACCTAGACTTGAATGAATTTAAGCGAAGTAATAGAATGGTGTCAAGATCTCAACAATTTACAGGTGAGCTTTGCTAGATGTAGCCGTAAGTTCTATGCTAGCAGTTTCTTTTCTCGGACTTCTCGCTTGTGGAATTCCCTTCCGGCTCTATGCATTCTACCCAACATTATTCTGAGATTTTTTTAATGTAATGTCAATCGCTATCACCTGATTACTCTATTCTCTTTCTGTTCATCATTAATATTTCTGTTCCTAATTCACTAATTCTTCCACCCGCTGTAACCCCCTTGTGTTTCAGTGACACTACTGTCTTGCTTATGGGTGATTCCCATTAATATATATATATATATATATATATATATATATATATATATATATATATCCCCAATGTACATGTTATTGCACTGCAGACAATTGATTTGATAAACTCCAGCATTTGAATCGGTGTGTGTTTTTATCCTGATTATATTTCCTATAGTCTTGGAGGTGGTGGTAACTATCCCCAACTAATTAAACAATATTAAACGGGAAATATATTAAATAGTTGTCCTTGTTTAGGTCAAAATACCTTTCATTATATATATATATATATATATATATATATATATATAAACACCACCGAGGACAGAACTCATGAGATCACGGCAAACTGCCTACACACACATATATATTACAGCGAAAACCAAAATTACCTTAGCATGAGAATAGTCTATTTCCGGCTGATCTGAACCCAGCCGTCTTCAGCTCTTAAAATATATATGCTCTGTTATAATAAAGACATTGTGCTCTCTGTGGATCTGTTTTAATATTTGTTATTACTAGGATCAACCTGGATTGTATGACAACGGATGTATTACCTGTGATTATATATTATATATATATATATATCCAAGTATATAATTGGTATATACGGAATGAATTCCAATAACCAACAATTACTATTCTTAAAAGAGTGCTCAATACAAAGTAGAGCAGATATCATTATTTTTATAAAAAATTATAACATAAGTATGTTATAAATCACTAAAAAATAGCCATTTTTTTTCAACACACTGTGTCTTATCAAGTGATGATGTTGAAAATAAAATAAAAAATTTATTTTATTTTCAACATCATCATTTTATAAACAAACTTATGTGAAACAATAATTTTTTATAAAAATAATTATATATATATATATATATATATATATATATATAATAAAAAAAGAACGGCAAGATATATAATCCGGTATTCTTATAGATATTTTTATTTTTACAAAGTAGTGCTCAATGTAAATTTACAGAGCATTAATATTATAAATTAATTGATTTAAAAATATTTTTTTCGCAGTGCGAAAAAAAATATTTTAAATCAATTAATTTATAATATATATATATATATATATATATAAAAAGGCTTAAACACTAATATTCCATGGTCATAATTTATTCCGTTGGAATCGTAAATACGATCAAATTCATCAGACCGACAAATTCAAAAAAGAAATTTTTTGAATTTGTAGGTCTAATAGATGAACCTTTTATTATATCCTTACTCTGTCCTGGACATTGAGTTCTACGTGGATTCTATCCTCTTGGAATTATTTTTTATATAACATATATATGTATGTATATGCATGTATGTATATATATTTATATATTTTGCATATGCATATTTACCACTAATATTATCTATCTATCTATATATATATATATATATATAACTTGATCGAAAGGAACATGCAAAAACTCCCAATGAATATTTCCGTATAGGGTCGGGTAAAAGCACCCGAGCAATAGCTGTGTACATAGATATAGACAGGAACAAATTCGATAGATTAATGAAGAGACCCATATATTTCAAATACGCGCTGAAAAATGTATGGCTCGACCACGAAGACTTCCCTAAAGATATTCTGTTTCGTAATTTTGATAAAGTTTTTGAATGTGTGTCGAACCGAGACATATCCCGCACCATCTCTCTCTCGCGCGCATATATATATATATATATATATATATATGCAGATCAATAAGCACATATATTTAATTAAAATGTTGCATTTGACCGTCTTTATTATAAATGTGACTATTGGTACAATTTTGCATTTCATTCTGTTTAATTTAAATACGGTGTACATGAACCACACACAAAAAATACTGCTTCATGTCTTGGACGCACCGACCAATAACATTTATGAAAATTGTCGGTAGTTCGAATTTTTCTTTTCACAGTTAGCGACATCAGATACTCAGAAAAAGTCATACACTAACGGTACTAGCCAAAAAACCTGACTCACTTAGCAAGCCACCAAGTTACCAACGAAGAGTTCTTTAACTGAATAGTATCAACACCAGTGTTGGTCATATTTTCTGGTGTAATTTCTCCCTGTATTTGATTTCATATTCGTTATTCAGTCTCCATTTCCTTTTCTACTTTCTCTCAATTTTCCTCATTTTTTTTTTTTGCCTATCAGAAAAAAAAATGCGAATCGGTTAATTTACATAATGAGGAGCGCTTCATTTCTCTTCGACTTCGACCTTCCCGTCCTCAACCCACTCACTTGATGGTTTTAGTCAGATATATATATATATATATATTTTTTTTTCTTTACACTTTTCTTTTTTCTTTATCATTTTTTAAAGTAAGTTAAAGCTACTGTGCCGTTCGATATTAAGATCGGTACGAGCAACGCGTTCCGATTCGAAAAATACCTTTGAACAAAAGTCAATCGGCTTTCACCCACGTTTTCTTTCTTCTTGCTTCTTTCTTTTTTTATTTTTTCTGGACTTCTAACTCTTTCTTTCCTTTTCTTCTCCTTTCTTTCTTTCTTTCCTTTTTTCTCTTTCTTTCTTTTTTCTTTCTTTCTTTCTTTCCTTTTCGTTTCATTCTTTCTTTCTTTCCTTCTTATTTCCTTTCTTTCTTTTCTTTCTTTCCTTCTTATTTCTTTCCTTTTCGTCTCATTCCTTTCTTTCCTTCTTATTTCTTTCTTTTTTTCTTTCTTATTTTCCTTCTTATTTCTTTCCTTTTCGCCTCCTTTCTTTCTTTCTTTCCTTCTTATTTCTTTCCTTTTCGTCTCATTCTTTCTTTCTTTCCTTCTTATTTCTTTCCTTTTCGTCTCATTCTTTCTTTCTTTCTTTCCTTCTTATTTCTTTCCTTTTCGTCTCCTTTCTTTCTTTCTTTTTTCCTTCTTATTTCTTTCCTTTTCGTCTCATTCTTTCTTTCTTTCCTTCTTATTTCTTTCCTTTTCGTCTTTCTTTCTTTCTTTTCCTTCTTATTTCCTTTTCGTCTCATTCTTTCTTTTTTCTTTCTTCTTTTTCTTTCCTTTTCGTCTCCTTTTTTCTTATTTTTCCTTCTTATTTCTTCCTTTTCTTTCCTTTTTTCTTTCCTTCTTATTTCTTTCCTTTTCGTCTCATTCTTTCTTTCTTTCCTTTTCGTCTCATTCTTTCTTTCTTTCATTCTTATTTCTTTCCTTTTCGTCTCATTCTTTCTTTCTTTCATTCTTATTTCTTTCCTTTTCGTCTCATTCTTTCTTTCTTTTCTTCTTATTTCTTTCCTTTTCGCCTCCTTTCTTTCTTTCTTTCTTATTTCTCTCCTTTTCGCCTCTTTCTTTCTTTCTTATTTCTTTCCTTTTCGCCTCATTCTTTCTTTCTTTCCTTTTCTCCTCATTCTTTCTTTCCTTCTTATTTCTTTCCTTTTCTCCTCATTCTTTCTCTCTTTTCTTCTTATTTCTTTCCTTTTCGTCTCATTCTTTCTTTCCAATTTCTTTCCTTTTCGTCTCATTCTTTCTTTCTTTCCTTCTTATTTCTTGGCTCCTGTCTCTTTGTTTTCTTTTCTTTCTTTCGTGTCTCTTTCTTTCATTTTCTTCTTCCTTTCTCTTCTTTTTGTCCCTTTGTTTTTTGTCTGTCCTTTCTTCCTTTCTTTTTGTTTTTTTTCTTCTTTTCTTTTTTTTTCCTTTCTTTATTTCTTTGCTTCTTGTCTTTCCTTCCTTCCTACCTTTTTTTCACGTCCCGGATCGATAGCTTTCCCGTTTTCTCTCCCACTTTCTCTCGCTTTCTTTTTACGACTGCGTGCAATCTCTACTTTCATTACTTCCGCCATCTTGTTTCTATCGATCGCCCTCTTAAATTCGCGCTAACCACAAGATATTTTTATACTTTTTAGGTTGTTGTTTGTCGCGCTTTTCTGCGTACGCATGCGCAGTATCATGTGTGTGACTTAGCGCATCCCGATTTGCGTTCCAAAAGTGCGTTCGCACGTCTCTGTAAATTATTATTTGTTTTGTTGTATACGTAATTGAATACTTCAGTGTTTCATTGAATTCGAGAGTCTGGATTCGATTCGCTTAGTGTGCACTGAAGTAAGAATCAATCTGCGTATCTATGTCCGTACATCAAGTGCCGAGTCTTTTTCCTTAAATGAAATTATGTGCGTTCAAAAGGATAAAAACTGAATATACCCATGAATTTGTGCGTGTAGCTATAAATATGTATAGATCTGTCTTGTGGCCAGTGTAGTTGCGTAATTAATATTTTCAACGACGTGGTTTATATATATATATATATATATATATATCACAGGGTTGCGTTAAAAGGAACGCGTCAATTTTACAGTGATTTTCCAAGCGTAGCTTAGATTTGGCACAAGCCGAAAGTATGGGGCACCTAGTGAGGATCGAACTCACTACTCATTCCTAATTGTTCTAGCGAGACAAGCTTGCTAACCATTATACTGCCTCTGGGGTGCCCAACGCGTCAATTGTATATGTGATCAAATGAAAGCAAAGCACATAATCCGGGCACGTAATTTAACTTTAGCTTTGGCGCTACAGAATCACAAAGAACTGTGTCAAATAGCAGAAACCACATTACTTGAGGACTATCAACAGCTACAACAAGTGGATATCACAAGTAACTCGAAGAGAAAATAATGACATAATCAAGATGTGAATATTCTACACTACTTCAAATAAAAGGTTAGCAAATATTGATGGGTGAAACCCAGCAATATTGAAAAGAGTACTAACAGCTACCGGACTTGAGAAACTTATTTTCCTGAAAAGTTCATTTAAGAGAAATATTTTAACCGGCAGCAGTACTGGTTACCCGGTCAATGATTGCCAAATGTTTCCTTATAAGGAAATGGTAATGTTAACTATTACCGTTACGTAGCTTTACACATAAAAAAAGATGTATGTAAATGGATCAACTTGTAGAGACGGTGATTAGCAGGGACAGTTAAAGATCTCAGAATCCGAAAAAGGGGGATGTTAAAACATCTTTCTTCTTCCATGGACTCGAAGTTGGTCTGATCACATAGAGTCTATATTCGATTGAGAAACCTTCATTCTTTGTACAATCATTTATTCTCTTTACCAAAAATGTTTTCAATAAAGCAAGAATTCTCAACCAAAATAACGATTTTGATATTTCTGTTAGTAAAACGAACATTCCTGGTCCATCCACAAAAATGTCATGAATTCTACTAAATTTAATCAATTAATGGATTTTAATCCAACATTTTTAATCCGATATTATTATTAATGCTTATACTAATAAAAATAATGTTGAATTAAAATCCATTCTTCTGTGTTCTGTGTCATAACTCTCCACAATTACTTGTCCTTTGCAGCTCTTAGTAAATTTTGTCTTTTTGTTATCTCACATAATCCCAGTATTGTCAGCCATTTATGTCAAATTATATAAGCTCTCTTTACTCATTATGTACCCTAGGAATTTCAAGTGTCTCTTTCTGATGTCAGATATACATGTACTTTTTGCTTCCATTTTCTCTAAAATTTCGTTGTTACTCACATGTTCGTGCATAATATTCTCAGCATCCTTCTGTAGAACCACACTTCTGCTTCTTCCAGTCTTTTGTTAATGTGTGAGGATGTTGTCCAGCATTCACTGTCATATAGGAGGATCGATATGACATAACAGTTAAGTACGTTTTTCTTTGTTTCTAACTAAAATTTCCTATTTCTTAATACTTTGCTTAGCTTTTGGAAGGCATCTTTTGCTATTCCGATGCGACTTCGGATTTCGATATCGTATTTTCCGTACTCTGTTAAAACACTTCTTAGATATTTAATTTTTTGTACTTGCTTGATTTTGGTATCTCCAGTTTGTCTTTTCTGTTTGCTGACAACCATGCATTCGGACTTCTTATAATTGATGTTTAGTTCTTTCTTCTACCTTTCCTTTACTATCTTCTGTGGGAGTATCCTCTAATGTTGTCAAGATTGTGGCCGTCAATAATGAATGCTAGGTGCTAATTCTAATTTTATCAGGATTATCTCAATATAAAGGTTGAATAAATCCGGCGAGAAGGTACATCCTTGTCTTACACATCTTTCTACATTTGTATATTTACAGAATTCATTTTCTATCGGTATGCAGGTATTTTGGCCCCATTATCGGTTCTGGATTATTTTAATATTCTTCCCAAATATATGAAGCTTCCTTAGCAGTTTCAACAGTTCTTTGAGCGTCTCACTGCGCCATTTTGGTCTCACGTTTTCCACTGAACTGAGGTGGAACAACTACATTGAATCAATGGCTGCATCTACCGCAAGGAAAGTTGGTCTTCTGTGCCGCACCAGAAGTTTTTTTTCTCGACTGAGTCCATCCTTCACATCTATAAATCTACCATTCATCCTTACGTGGAATACTGTTGCCATATATGGTCTGGAGCCCCTACTGTTCATCTCAAGACTCTCGACAAAATCCAAAGATGGATATGTAATGTGATCGGTCCTGACTCGGGGTCTCGACTCTAGTCACTTTCTCACCAATGTAATGTGGCTTCCTTTTGTCTTTTCTATATTTTCATGGGATCTGCTCTGACGAGCTATTTTCACTGTTGCCCAAACTTCATGAATTTAAGCGTGCTACTAGGTTGGCATCTCGGTCCCATCCTTTTACTGTCGAAACAGTTAAATGTAGCCGCCTCTTCTATTCCAACAGCTTCTTCTCTTCATCTCCCTTCCTCATACTTGCTTGCCTGATAACTATAATGTGCAAAAATTTGAATTAAATTTCAATCAAAATATTCTGTTGCCTTGATGCCTGTTCTTCTTTTTATCCTTTCCTCACCCCCACCTATACCAAGTCTTTTCCCTTACTTACAATCTCTGAAGGCCCTTGTGTACTAGTGGCACTCCCGCCTTGCTTGGGTTGAAATGCTTAAAAAATATTTTATCAAACGCTTTTACATAATCTATAAAAATAAGTATACATTTTCTGCATTTATATTACCCTTATTGATATCATTCTGACTATAAATATTGCATTCCTTGTTCCAGTGTCGTTAACGAAACTGCACTGTTCTTGTTCTGGAATAATTCTGATGTGTGCTCTATTCATCAGAATTCGGATAATACATTTTGAATTGCCTAAATTACTGTGTTTTACGCTTCGGGGATGAAAATATAGTCAGCAGATGGAGATATTTTAAAGTCACAATGAGAGATGTACTATTATTGTTTCAGCAATAAAAGTGCAACTAAAAAAAACAAATACAACACCCCGTTTTCTTTAAAAAAAAGAATTTCACCAAACCCCAAAAACAACAACAATAAAAAACCGAACAAAAGAAAATGGTGATGTTTACATATACACGTGTTATCAATAAAATGACGTTTCTAGTAATAAAAACACTAATATATTTATAAATACAGTGTTAAATCGATCCCCGACATCTTGAAACTGTACTTACGCCGTTAATGACAGCGGACTACTGATCGTGTCCTTTTTTTTACAATTCGTAATAGTAATCTGGAATTGAAAGGCAAAAAATCACGGATTCCTGCCGAGAGTTTACGTCGTTAGTGCCTTCCAATTCCGGATTACTATTACGAATTAGAAAAAGGGACAAGATCAGTAGTCCGCGGCTATTAACGGCGTAAGTACAGTTTTGAATTTGACATTTGTAAATAAAATCAAAGTAAAGAAAACTAGTCAAGATGTCCAGGATCGATTTGACACTGTATTTATATTATAAACAGGACACCCTTTCTAATATGATAACATATCAATATTTTACGATTCTGACAAATACCGTGGGGAGAGGAAGGTTTAATGAATGTTAATCTACAAAAATTCTTTCCCTAAACAAAGTTTTCCCTTAAGTTTTCCGAGGGGACCAGTTAATTTTAGCAGAGCATTACTCTATGCAACGGTGTTATTGTGCGCGCTGCATTCGTTGTAGTTTTCGTGGGAAAAGTAGGAGGCATTACTTTCGGATCGTCTAGCGTGTTATACTGGCATTACCTGCCTCTAATTGCTTGTATTATTTTATTGAAAATGGCCATTTTCTTACGAATATTGACATTCAAAGCACACCGACTGTTCTTACTTGAAAAGTTTGTGTCAGAGTAAGCTAAGCTTTATAAATAGGTAATTAGGCATCTTTATGTGGAACACGCATACATACATAAATTTACACACACACACACACGTATATTAATTCGTGAAAGTCGTGAGCTTTGTTAATAACATGGATCCATAGATATCTTAGGCGTCAGTGGTCAGTGTTCATGCCGACGTCAAGAGCAAGAACTTCAAATAGTGATTTTATAGGCGCGAGTTCAGTTATTTGCAGCAAGGCCCGTAATGACGTGTACACAGGGTCAAATGGCAGTCATCTCCTTCGTATTCTGTTGGTAGGAAGGAAGTTCAGACAACTTATTCCCAAGAACCTATACTTTGTGGAACAGAGTTCAGAGAGAATGTTTCCCCAATGCTTACAATCTTAACCTCTTCAAGCGTTATCTACTCTTCCTGTACTCATAATCTGCACTTCCTCCTCTTACGTCATACAAAAAACACCTCAGTCAATAAGCTACTACTTTGAGTGGCTCTTGGATCTTCTATTGGGGTAGCAGTTAGTAAAAAATCTCTACATGGGAGAAGTACCTCACGAATGGTATAGTTCTTTATTTGTCACTGTTGCTGTCGGTTGGTTTTCGAATCCAGGTGCCGAAAACTATATTTGAAATGCTAATTTTCATGGCGAGAACTTACTGTTCGGTAGATAGATACGAAATCCCATTTTCCGAACATTATCTGAAAGTTTCAAGTGAAACACTTAAAACTGTTGTCATGATTAATGCGTCGGTTCTAGTCTTGCAATTCGCCAGATCACGAGTAGGATTTATTAATCAAATGCGTCAAAACTTAACTCATCACTGAAGCTAACCTACAGATTGATTCAGCAAACACCAAATGACATAGACGAGTAAGAGAAGATGCCAACATTTTATTTACACATTTCGAGTGTGAACAGAAGCTGCGAGTTTAATAGTAATCATTCAAGGAGCTGAATATTTTTACCAGATTAAGAACCTCATGAAATGATTAAATTTGGTTAAATTAATTTTAATTTGTCACTGTAAAACATTTCTCACCTTATATCGGATCGTTTCACACCTTTAATCAACTTATTCTTGAAGAAAACAGAAATTGATATTATTATGTAATTATATCGTTATCGAACAAAAGTAATCTGTGACGATTGAAAAGCTGACTAAGAATGAAAATAGGATTGCGGCATAAAAGCAGAAACAGGTGAGTCTTACGGGTTTTGTTTTGCAACAGAAAATAAGTTTTTGCAAGTTTTACAACGCAGTCAGCATGATGCATATCGATAATCAGTAAGAAAAGGACTGTTAAGGGTATGAATAAAAGTAAGAATTACTGATTGATCAATTTCTCTCTCTTACACACACACACACACACACTCTATATCAAGGCTTACAAACATATCACGTTGAAACACTATGCAATTACTGAAATTAAGCAACGTCGACCTTGGTCAATACCTCGGTTGGTGTCCGCTTGGAAATACCTGGGGTTGTAAGCTTGGATTAGTTTAATGGGTAATTTCTAGGAATTTGTAATCGGAGAGTCGAGTTCTAATTCCAGTTGGGTTCGTTATATTCACTTACGCGCAAATAACCTTGGGAAAGGTATGAATCCGCTTATTCCCCCTAGCTATGGGTTAATTAGTGAGGATGACTGAAAAAAACACCCCCCTCTTCAAATTTATAGACAAAACATATAGGTGCATACTGGGATTTCTTCAAAGCCAATATCAATGGCCACTTCTTGGTTTCATCCGACTGAGTTCTGTTCCTTTATGTCTTAAATCAGAACACTGTTGTCGCTTGTTTGTACCACTTTGTGTGTTAACTCCATTCTTAGTTTGTGATCTTTTTAGATTATTGCTGTTGTTTTGTCTACTTTTACCTTGCATATATTATTTGCTTAAGATTATTTTTTGCCCTGTTCTTTTCTTTCTCTTGTTGTTTATTGCAAACTTTGTCAATTCTGTTTGTTGGGCGTTCCTGCCAATTACATTTAACCATAGTCTGTTATTCTGCACTTGTATCATTAAAACATTATTATCTCAAAAAATATTCTTACAATATTAAATATTTTCTGGCTTTAATCAACCTGGAATGGGTCGATAAGCCGTAGAAAACGAATTAATGAATCAATCTCTCTCACACACACATGTATATTTAGTGTGGGACAAGTAATTGCTTAGAAACCACGTGCCTTTTTATGCTTTTAAAATCATTTCCAACGAATAGATCTCAGTTCTTATTTACATGGACACTTGGACAAATATCCTTATTGCTGTTGTTGTTGTTGTTATTATCACAATGTTTCGGAATAATGACTACCATTTGGGGGTTTCGTTCAAACTGGACCAGTGTTTATCTTTCTGACATTTTAGTATAAACCGAACTTACGTTTACGTTCTGGAATCGTGTGAAAATCTAACTTTAAAAAAAAAAAAAATTTCCGGCCTTCTTTAGGTGTCTGTCGATTCAGTCAACCTACTGGGTATTTCGAACTGAAACCTTTATTTAATCTACGGGGTGGGTAGATTATTCTCGCTCTCCTGACCATGTGTAGGTATATTTGAGAGTTCAATCCCTGTGCCTGGTAGTGTAGATTTACACTCAATGACTGAGCCGTACGAAATAAGAATAAAACTGATACTCCTGGACAAGGATAAAGGAACGTGAAGAATTCAAAGATTTAACTTTGAAGATTACCCGGATTGAAAAGCACGTAATGAAAATCATTTACAACATTAGCGGGAATATTTAATTTGCATCACAATTTTTAAAAGTATATTTTAATAAATAATTTTCTGTACTATTTATATTTGATTAAAATTATAAAACTTGCCATATGTAAGCTTTGTTTCTGTGGATAAAGTTTTTAATTCATCGTCTTTGGCAAGAATGTATATCTGCTTTGTCGAAATTCAGATCTAAATTAAACAGTCATAATAAGAATTGTTGTCGTCTGCTATTTCGCATTACCAAAATTAGTAATTCTTCCAACCAGTAGTTGTCGTCGATATTCAATTCTAGGTATAATCTCTGACAGAGTAAGAAAAAACAGGAATAATTTTGTAGTCAAGTTTCATCGACTTGAAGACCTCAACTTCCTCAACTTTATGGCACTGTGTTTGATCGAGAGAAAACCCCAGAATTTTGAAGACATTTTTACTCGATCTGGAAAATTGTCGTTTCTGTGCTAAATTAGGAGAAACTCAGTCAACATGTGTCTTAAAATTAATTAGTATACAAACCGACTTTTTCACCTGAATATCTACACAAAAGACGACATATATTCTAATTCATGTACTAAATTTACGATCGACTCATCCTACAAGTCATATCCGAAATTTAGTAGCATTACCAAATGGTTATTTTCACTATTCTGTAATGGCTAAATCATAACAGTATATATAATGTGTTTGCACTGTTTTAGAATGAGTAAATTACGTCATTATAAAAAAAAAAATTTTTTTAATGTGGTTTACGGCATATAAACCCTTCGCAGTTTATTTAATACCGAATTCTATCATTTTGCTAAATCGTAAGATAGCCAGAGGTTTTGTCTGAACAAGAGTCGAAAAGGTAGACAGTACAGTAAATAGGTAGACCCTTTGAGTGGGGTATAGTAGGCATATTCTTGAGTCAAACCGACAAGGCGAGGTACAATAAGATTTAACGAATTTAGACATTGATTAGACCATTCTAAGGAAAGCCGTGTTTGTGAATCACATTAAGTTCTTTGATTTTAGAAAAGGCAACAACGCTGCAGAAGTAATTCGAAATATACATGTATATTGTGGAAAACCTTCCTTTAACAAAATCAATAGCCAAATATACTTTGGAAGGTTTGCAAAAGGTGAGATGAGTTTACAGGAAAGTCGCAGTTGTTGAGTTTGACGTTGACCCATTTTTTTCAGTTTGATAGAAATAATATTGAATAATTAACTTAAAAATTGAATTTAATTCATTTAACGGTTCACCGTCATCTGCAGCAAATTAGAAAGTTGCTTAAACTTGAAAAGTAGTTCCCATCATTTGAAAAGCCATAAAGGAAGATTCAGTATCTGCGTTTCTTTGTACTCTTGTGAACGCACCCCGCAGTCTTTGGGCATTAATGGCCGGAGAAAAAGATGGAGGAAACAGGCTAAAAGATGTCCTTGAATAGGCTTCAATACATGGAAATAATTATTAGTAATACTTTGGTGTTATCCAATTTAAGTTGCTACCAGTCAATCAATAGGCCAACGGCCATATCACGCTAAAACACCGGTTCCTGTCCGATCATCGAAGTTAAGCAACGTCGAGCCTGGTCAATATCTAGAAGAGTGACCGTTTGGGAATATCAAGTTCTGTAAGCTTGGATGTGCAGATGGTGTAATGGCTCAGATTTGTTATTCGGAGAGCCGAGTTTTAGTAAAAAAAAAGAAGGATATGAATCCACTTATTCTCCTCCCAACTATGGGTTAAGTAGTAAGACATGTATCGCTAAATCATTATTATCCAAAAAGAAGATCCTTACAATCTAAAAATATTTTCTGGCTTTAAATAACCTGAAAAGAGTCGATAAACCATAGAAAACGAATCAATCGGTCGGTCAATCAATGTCACGCTTACATCAACCTTCTACTGTCAGCAGTTAGAATGTTTTATCATTTATTTGAAGGAGAAAAGGTTAATGAATTGCGACGGTACAGTATTCAATCATGATAGAGAACGTCCCCATACAGTAAAGATAACGGAAACAAGTGAAGAGCGAAGCAAAGGAAATATATTCATTTTTCTCTGTTCCTTTTGAGTAGTCTCTTTATTCTTATTGCTTTTAGCACATCGTTATAATCGATTCTTTGATATCCAGTACTCCCAAGACAATATGAAGTTAGTTCAATACGACTCACAAAGGTCATTAATACTACATTATGTCCTGAGTACATATTTCTTTTCTGGATAGTTCGTCTACCTAAACCAGCATGCACAGTGAAGATCGAAATACAGTGCAGTCGTTTCAAGGATTGTATTTCAGTCTCAAGTGTCTAAGAAATTGTTTTAATTCATCAATCAAGGACCTCTTAAGAGGATCGCGAAGCTCATCTACATTTTCGGGCTAATGCCTGCCTCTCTCGGACAATCAAACCCGTATAAGAATGCGTCATTTTTTTTTAACAACGTGCAGTGTATTCTGATACAACACCCGGAAAGATAGAAAATTCAGCGAAGGGGAGATAATTACGGAAACGTATCGCTTCCTTTCCAGCTATAACGGAAAGAAAAATGAGCGGGTTATTATTTTTGTGAATAACAAAAAGAAGGAATATGATAAATATCAAGAATGTGTTCGTTTTGGAATAAATCCTACTTAGCTGTTCCCAGTAGAAAAGAAGGAAGGACATTTTTATTGTTCTGCTTAAATCTATTTGTTCTTTTTTGACAAACATGGAAAAACGTGCCCGCAATAAAACAGTGTCTAAAGGTATGTTTTTTTCCGTCATAACACCGCTTTTTTATCTTCTTATTGTTTTAAAAAGCGATTATTAGGATCGTATTACAACCTAAACATATGATGAAAGTGAATTTTAATATTTTTTTATCCCGAAGAGTGAAGGTAGTTAAAGAAGCGGTGTCATGGTATAAAAAAACCCGTCGTTTTAATATTCCGTCATATTAAGGGCACGTTTGTCCATGTTGGTCCTTTTTATGAATGTTACAGAATTATGCATTCCCACAAATGTAAGATATGATATAAATTATTTTTGATCTGATGAGGTACCAAATATCTCCGAGTCTCTCGTCCTTACCGATGACACCGGGTGACACTCCTGATTCGAAATTTTATCCGGTAGCGAAATGCACGAGAAGGGATTTTTTTTTATTTCGACTTTACCGTTTATATTAGATCGATGCAAAGGAACCCAACCTACTTCAAGAAAGTTATAGCATCATTATTACCATTATTAAAATATTTTTCCCTGGACTAGCAGAAACTCCAGCAATATTGCTTATTCCACCATAAATTACCAGAAGAAACGTTATCTTGCTGTGTTAGAATATTCCGATTGAATCCCCTGGAGAGAAGTCTAAGATCCCATCAAAGGGAATACCTGTTGAGTGGATACTTACAAAATCTTATGCAAACAATACTTATGTATTCTTTTTGATTTTTGAATCGGTCTACCTTTTTTTGACATTAAATTAAAATGAACAAAATTTTCTTGTTTTGACTCTCGTGCAAACTGGACCAATGTCTACTTTTTTTTATCTTTCGTGTAAAACGGACCTATGTCTAACTTCTGTGATTCTTGTGCAGACTGGACCAATGTGTATCTGTTTTTGACTTTCGTGTGAACAAAAGCAATGTCTACCTTTTATTTTTTACTCTAGTGTAAGCAGGAACAATGTCTACATTTTTTGGACTCTCGTGCAAACCGGACAAATGTCTACCTTCTGGAATTTTGTGTAAACCGAATTTTGCTTATTAACATTTATTTTTAATTTGTGAGATTTATATTCGATATTAAAGAAAACCAACCAACCAGGCATGAAACATTATCAAACCTATTAGTGTAACATAAATTTTCGATATCAATAAATTATTGCAACTCTTACCCAGACAGTTAGGAGCAATAGACAGAAAGTAACTTCTCTCGAAAATACTTAAAACGTAGAAAGACTTCCCATGTCATGTCTCTGATCGCTTGCTGCGTCGTATTTACAACATGAGGCTGTAGGATTAAAACGTCTTTTTTTTTCTCGCTGCATCATTTATGCGAAGCAACTTCGAATATTGAGAATTTTTTTCCGTGAAAGTTTCTGTTTATACTGAAAACCGTCTTGAATTTTGTCACCATTTTTTTTTTAATTTGAATTCTCATAATTAATCATTTTTCGTCACCACGGATCATCTTCATCGACACAGATTTTTCTTTTGTAACATCAAGGAATAGAGTAATATTTAAACGTTTAACCAAAGTTCATTCCCGTTAGTTCATCTAGAATTTACTTTTCTAGCTTCAGAATTTTTAAAAGTTTGAAATCAACTTTCTATATCTGATTGATTTCGGGAGCAATAAAGAATTTAGTAAACTAAAAACACTTGCACGAAATATTTAAACACTATATTACTTTTCCTCACAAAACTACTGCTAATACGATGTGGGAGGATTAAGAACAAAAACGATGTGAATAAAAATAAAAAAAGTCATAAAAACCATGATGAGGTCTGTTAACGTCAAAATTAAAATTAAATTTAAAGCGGAGAGTCACTCTAGTGTTAACGTTCTCAATATAAAAATATAACTCGGGTTTGCTGAATTTTCTCCCTCACTATTCATATGATAAGAAATATATTCTTAAGGTATGCTATATTTATGGGTTTAAGGGCTCAGTATCAGGGACAGAACATATATAAATATAAAAGTGAACATTGAGGTTAATACCCAGCAGCGATAGTCTATTTCATGTTTAATTGTAATATCCAGGCCCGAAGCATGGAACATACTATCGTCGCTGAGTGCTTCTCTCAATATACACACACGCATATATTATATATATATATATATATATATATATATATATATATATATATATATATCCACAATGTACATTTATTGCACTGTAGACATTTGATTTGATAAACTCCAGCATTTGAATCGGTGTTTGTTTTAATTTTTATTCTGATTATATCTCCAATAGTCTTGGAAGTGGTGGTAACTATCCCCAACTCATATATATATATATATATATCATGAAATGGATTAAGTCTGACAATAATTTAATATATTTTCTGTTTATACGTTATTTTATAGATACAATTTATTTAAGCAAATACTCTGTTTTTAATTAAACAATATTAAACGGGAAATATATTAAATAGTTGTCCTTGTTTAGGACAAAGTACCTTTCGTGAGCGGAAATGAGCGATCGAGAAAAATCATCCATTTATAAGCAATAATTCAGACTTTACTAACCAGACGCTTCTCTGTAGCTGAATGGTATAGCACGCCAGATCAAATGGCGGTTTCCATATAGGAATACATATTCGATTTGTGTCGGAGAACGCATATTTTTTATGAAATTTGTCGAACATTTAGGCATGTAAATGTAAGTAAGAGCATTTACTTAAATAGTATCTATAAAAATAACGTATAAACAGAATATATATATATATATATATATATATATATATATATATATATATATATATTTCAATTTCAATAAAGGTGCAATTAATTCACAAATTCATGAATTATTCATACAAAAAACAAATACAAAGTTTAATGATTTAATTGGCGAGAAATCCATCGTCGCGAACAATTCAAATAATATACAAAAACCCCGAACCTGTTATGAATGAAAAGATCCTTGTTTTTATAAATTTCTGTTGCATTAGTTCTTATTTTTACTACAAGATTTCGTCTGTTCCTACAGACATCTTCAGGTATGGAATAGATGTTGTTCTTGTTTTTACTCTCAGTAATAAGAGGACAACGAAAATATATGTATTGTTGTATCCGAAAAATGCTATTAGAATGAGTTATTGTTTTTGGAGCGTGCAGTAGCAACGCTGAGTTTGATTTTAAATTTTACAATTGTGCGTTCTTGTACAAATATGGTGATAAGTGAATTCTTTTTTACTGGTAAGTTTTCTGTCAAAGTGGCATGAACTATATTGTTCAATAATTACAGTAATGTCGCACTTATTATCCAAAAGTTGCACTTGGATCAGTTATTTTAATTTCAATAAAGGTGCAATTAATTTACAAATTCATGAATTATTCTTATAAAAAACAAATACAAAGGTTAATGATTTAATTGGCGAGAAATCCATCGTCGTGAACAATTCAAATAATATACAATATATATATATATATATATATATACTGACTATCGAGAAAACTTAGTCTGAAGAAACTCCTTTGTGGACGAAACCCGTTACTTAGGTTATTTTTCATTTTGTCATTCGATCACCTTTTAATCATATTTCTCTTTCTCTCTCTCTCTCTACTTACCTACATATGTGTGTGTGTGTGTGTAAACAAATTTTGAGCTTGAATTTGATATCTTTCACATTGATTCTAAATTATTTCTCTGTTTTATTAGAATATATTGTTTGTAAATATTGTTTTCACAAAAATTGCGATTTTCATTGTTATTGATATTTTATTCTGAAGTAAAAAGAAATTGAGGCAATCGGCGATCAAAGTTCAGAACCAGAAATTGAAAAAACTCTTATTGAATATTTCGAAATGCACTGTCGGAAATCTATGATAGCCGACAAAATATTTATGATGTGGAATGCACATTGGATGAAATATTTTACATGTTGTCATGAGAGGAGATCTTTCGAAATCGAGACGAGGCCA